AGGGAAAAGAACAAAAGAGAATGAAGAAAAAATGGAAACAAAGTCCTTTTAAATAAGGAGAAGAAGAGGGGTTGGAGGGAGGGGAGAGGTTTGAGGGAGAAAAAGAAGAATCATGATATATTATGTAAAGGTACAAATATCCTATGGTGAATGTGATCACTATGTATATCTAAAATGTACCAATAAAAATAACAATGAAAACATAGTAGTGTCAGAAGCAACTGTTATGATATTTAAGCATTAAGGAAGGTAGTCCTCAGAGGTTTGTATCTTCCAAGCTATTAACTAAGGCTTCTTGATGAGAGGAACAGGAAATTTCTGCCATTTGACGTTGTTTGGTGGAAACCGTAGAGCAGCTGAAAAAACAAGCCAATAGGACGATGTGTAATGGTGTCCTTATGAACACCTATTAAGACAGCTTTAAGTATTCTGGGTGAATTCATATTGAAATCTGTTCCTTCACAGGAAAAGGGCAAGACTTTTCTGAATTTCAGTGAATAATTATTTCTAATAATTAGAACAGCTAGAGAAATAGCACAAGTGTGATTTTTTTCTATTCTGCGAACCATTTTTGTTTGTTTATTTTTTGAGACAGGGTCTCACTATGTAGTTGAGACTGACCTGGACCTCACTATGTAGCCCAGGTTGGTCTCAAACTCACAGCATGAGGCTCCCAAGTGCTGGTATTACAGGCATACACCACCATGCCTGGATATCTGTGACCCATTTGACTGGGAAATTGTAACAAATACCTGCTATGTATATTCACTAGGAAAATTATTCTCAATTCCTTTCTTTAAATGAACCTTTAAACATAAATATTATTATCATTTTCATAAGGAATATAACCATGCAAAATATTAACATACAAAATTTAGTTTAGTTTCAAACTTAAAAAAAGAAAAGAAAGATATTACTGATTTTATGCATTCCTCACTGAGCTTGGTGCATGATGTGTGTTTGAGAAACTTTTATTAAATTTGTTACTACATATTTCTCTCTCTTAAACATTTTTATTTCCTTTTTTGTGTCTAAATATGAGCTTTTACTCTTTAAATTTACCAACAGACTTGAATAGGTCCTAGTTTTCAGTTGCAGTGTTTACATCTAGAATTGGGCAATACTTAAAATTATTAGACTTTGCCCACACAACACATGCAAGGCAAATGGAAAGCAAAGTTACAGGTGAGAAGTCTGAGGTAGAATCCACTATTGAGAAGGCAAGAATTTACTGTCCATAAAATTTGTATTTCTCCAGTAATACGTAAAGGCAGTTTTGATAAATCTTTAAGACTGGTACTCAGTGCTTCACAGTAATAAGCACCTGCCAAATTATGATTAATGGTAGTGCAAATATTGATGTTGATGAGACTGTTGGTAATGATGATAGACCCTATTAGTCATCACACTCGACTTTTTATTAATATATTCTTGCTTACTTTCTAGAAGTTCCCTGTCCTGGGAAAAGCTGCTGTAGCATAGTTTGCATCTGTTCGTACACCTAGAAGTCACCAAAGCACTGGAAGCAAAAGTAATTGACAATGAAGGTATACAGAAAGCTATCGTTTCTGGCTCTTGTCATTACCACAAAACTTTATCCAAAAGAGAAAAAAAAATAGTAAAGGAAAGGTAAAGGTAGGAGTCACTCTCCTAGCCTCTATGTCCAAATTTGTATTTTCTTAAAACATTGAATGGATAACTGAATAGAAAGGACAATTCTGCTTTCTGCGAACAGAAGACTAACTCCACTACAAGGACTCTGTTTTAGTTTTGTTTTTTGGTTTTTTTTTGGTTTTTTTTTTCCTGGTTGGTGGGACAGCATACCTGACTTCCATAAGTTAAAAGAGGGAAGATTTTTTTTTTTTTTTAATGCCAGAGGCTCTAGAGGTTTTAGTGTATTCTCAGCTGGCTCTGAGGCCTGGCAGCATGACAAAGGGGCATTGCAAAGGAGAAACAGGCCACAGTACAGAAGACAGCAGGCAGCAAAGCAACAGCACTGAGCCTCACTTTCTGTTTTAACCCATTAAGGCTACAATGCAATTAGTTAGTACCACACCCCAGGTAGACCTTCCCATTATCCCAGAGCAGAACTATGCCGAAGCAATCACTGGGCTACTATAGTTTTTGCATATGTTCAATCCGCATTCACATACCCTAAATCTATCTATCGTATGAGCACGTGAGGCTCTGGGGGAGCCTAGATAGAAGCCATGACAGCTTCCAAGAGGTAGAGTTCTGGAAACTCTAAAACTTGTGAATATGTGCGTGTGTGTGTGTCTGTGTGTGTGTGTGTGTGTGTGTGTGTGTGTCTGTGTGTGTCTTCAAGATATTCCAATCCCTTTGTGTTGAATAGAGAAATAGAGATTCCTAAGGATCAGGAATGGATTTGATATGTTACAAGTTCTGATAACTTCAATTTTTGTTTTTTTCTGTACTACAACTAATAAATTGAACAGAACATTAGACAAAAGCACTTCAAAGTTATTAGAGTGATTTGTGTTTATGAGAAGATATGAGAAAATGCATAGTACCTTTCAACTTCCTGTAATATATAAAAGTATTTTCTATATATAAAAATTGAATTTTGGGAAGCTTTAACGGTTCTGCCAACTTTGGAAAAAGTCATCCCAATTTATTGTGTTGAGTTGGCATTGTACAGAAATAGACAACCATATTGGTCTAGAAATGTTAACTTATTTCTATTTTTAGTTTTTATTTTTTTCCATGTGTACAGGGGTAACACATCGTACTAAATATGTAAAGTCATGTCTACATAATTGAATTTTGGGAAGCTTTAACGGTTCTGCCAACTTTGGAAAAAGTCATCCCAATTTATTGTGTTGAGTTGGCATTGTACAGAAATAGACAACCATATTGGTCTAGAAATGTTAACTTATTTCTATTTTTAGTTTTTATTTTTTTCCATGTGTACAGGGGTAACACATCGTACTAAATATGTAAAGTCATGTCTACATGGGTTTGATTACAGAAACTAATAAAGTATCCTCTAAATAATGAAGAGAAGAATAAGATAAGACTATAAGAGTGAGAAGCAATTTAAATATGTTCAGGGACCATTTTCATCTCCAGAATTAAGGATTATTTTAATCCTACATCATTGCCTGTTCTCTTTTACTTTCCTTTTTAGTTTTATTTTAAGGTTTCCTATTTTTAATGTTCATACAGAGATTTCTTTAACTGAAATACCGAATAGTTTCTTTGGTGAAAAACTATAATAGTACACAGGATCCTAATGAGACAATTAATAATGTGAAATAGGAAGTAAAGGGCTAAAGGTGTAGGGAAAGTGGGAAGGGTGGGGGAAAGGTAATAAGGGAGAGGAAAAAAATATGAGAAACTGAAAAAATGGAAATAAAGTGTTTGTAAGTGGGGAGGGGAGAAGGGGTTAAAGGGAGGGCAGGGACAAGGGGAAAAATGAGAATCAAGACCTATTATGTAAAGGTACAGAATCCCAATGATGAATGTAATTGTATTGCATACCTAGATTGTACCAATAAACTCAATAAAAAGAAAAAAAAAGGAGAAAAGCTATGGTAATTTGGTTTGTCAAAAGGGGTTTTCTGTTTCTATCAATTTGCAAATTAATTTAATCCTGTTTAAGAGGTGATACATAGCTTTTTGGCAATGAATTTTTATTTCTCAATTTCTTAAATACTTTTAATTAAAAGCTTCCTAATGCTGTGCTGGGTTTTAGCTCATCATTTCGGTGGCCTGCCTTGCAAGCGCAAGGACCCGAGTTCAATCCCTGGTACCAAAAAAAAAAAGCTTCCTAATGCTAATACATAGTTGTTGATTTGCAAATTACACTTACAAATAACTAAATGACACCCAAAGTTCAGTAACCCATTTTAAAAGTTTTCAATCCTCTAATGACATTCGAATCGGAAAGTTAAAGAATCTACGTGAGGTAGATGAGCTAACGCAAGAGGACTCCACATTTCTTGAATATACACCAATAAAGTTGTTGCTATGTCTTTCAGCTCAATGAACTAGCTACTAGAAATGGAAGCATCTATCATAATTCATAATTAAAATGTGTCTCTTTTAGTAATAGATACATTATTGCCTGATTATTTAAATAAGATTATTTTAACTGATGAATAAAAATGTAGAAATTGTGCATCTTAGTGGTGA